AATCCTGCAAGATGATTGAGAATATTGACTCGTCGATTCAGAGGTATGATGTTTGGAATTGAATGAGAAAGCAAACATTAATAAATATATTGAATGATATCATGATAATGCGTCCTGTTGATTGGAATTTTCTTTTCATAAAAAAAATCATCGTATGTTGTAGAGCTTTATAGCAGCATAAGCAGCGCTGGCTGAATTGCCATATACATCACAATTATGACTGAACTGACTTATGATATTGTAATATGTACTCGGTTAAGGTTTGAGCATACTTCATTGTTCTTTTCCCCTCTCTTCCTCTGTTCATCACAGGATAATGACACTTGCTAAGAAATTAACTGCTATGGATGAAAATATATCATCTGATCCTCTGTATCTAGCAAAGGTGAGCATCTCTAAATCAAAGTCTCATTTTGAATTGTAAAGTGCAATAAAAAAATTGTTGTTTTCAGGCTGGAAGAGAGAGGCAGAGATTCGATTACGATGACTTTGATTCTGTTCCTCAAAAATTTAATATTTGACTGGAGCTATGCAAAGTCACTTTGTATCTTTTTCCTTCCGCCCGATTTAGTTCAAAGAGACAAAGCTTGTCAAGGTCATTTGCTCCTTGTGAGTAGTGTATGTAATCCCATTCTCTTACCTCAAAAACTAATTTTGTAATATTCTGCAACATTGATCAAATCCTCAGCGGTTTTTGAACGGAACACGGATAAACACGGATAAAGCTTCTTAAAGATCTAGAAAATTTAGACTTAGCTTATTCTAATTTTGTTAGTTTCATTCATGATATTAAAAAAAAAAAAAAAAAGTGTTAATTTCAAGCAATTTTGGATTTTGAAACTCACAACCAACCATTAAATGTATCTTCCTACCATCACTTGCTACTTCTAAATGTGAAAGTCCCGTTTCTTTTGGCATGTCGAACTTCGGGACACATGAATTTAAACATGTCAACGTGAGAGTGCACCTATTGAAGAGAAAATAACATCAATAGAAATTGACGGTAGAGTAAACCTATTGCGACACTTTCAACATTAAATCATGAACCTATTGTTGAATCATGATTTAGATAAGTAGAAGATGAGATAAGATGTTTTTTTCTTTTTAAGAGCTGCAAGAGTAAATCTTCTGTTCCAAGATCGGATTTACCCCAAGATCAAATACACAATGATGATGTTTTTTCTTTTTTATTTTTTTATTTCAAAATCTAATGCATATTTTTTCTTTTTAGAGCTCCGAGTAAATCCTTTATTCCTTCCAAGATCAAATGCCCATGACACACAATCTGCCTTATTATGAATCGAAAGTAATAATGATATAAAGTATTACTTTCTACCAGAGTAAATCCTTTATTCCAAGAGACACACAATCTGCCTTATTCTGAATCGAAAGTAATAATGATATAAAGTATTACTTTCTACCAGAGTAAATCCTTTATTCCAAGATCGAATGCCATGACACACAATCTGCCTTATTCTGAATCGAAAGTAAATCCTTTATTCCAAGATCGAATGCCATGACACACAATCTGCCTTATTCTGAATCGAAACTAATCAAGGAAATCAAGGCATACATTTACCCACAATCAATGATGCGTTACAAAGACAAGAAAAGATTGCATAATCAATAGTTTTCTGAAATTATACTACTTTCATAGGGTTTCAATCATAGGGTTTCGAATCCCTTTTTAAAGATTGCATAATCAATGGTTTTGTAAAATTATACTTTCAGAGGTTTCAAACCCCTTTCTTCACTTTCTGAAATTATACCACAAACGGTTTTAAACCACTTCATTCTTTTTACCCACAATACATGCGTTGACTAGAAGAAAAGATGGCATAATCAATGGTTTTATGAAATTATACTACTTCTAGAGGTTTCAAACCACTTCTTCGCTGGTTTTTTGAAATTATATCACAGAGGGTTTCAAACCCCTTACTTCAACGATTTTCTGAAATTATACCACTCCCTTTTCCCTCGAGTTTCAAACCACTCTCAGATGTGAGAGAGGGTTTCAAAGATGTGATAAATTGTTTGATAATTGGTTTGTCTGGAGTTTCAAACCTTTCAAATGTGAGAGAGGGTTTTAAGGATGTGATAAATGGTTTGATAATTATGAGAGAGTTTCAGAGTCTTTTGCTAGAGGGTTTAAGAGATGTGAGTGAGATGAATCATAAATTGTTTGATGAATCATAAATTGTTTGATAATTCATCAGACGTTGATCTGGAGATCATGACATGAACCTTTTCGAAGGTAATAGATTTTTAGTAGATAGGGATCAGTAAAAATTTCCTTCGAGGAATGGGTCAGACCGGGTCATGATAAATTGTTTGATAATTTAAACGCGGTTTATCTCATAGATTTTTTGTAGATAGGGATCCAGTAAAAACTTCTTTCGAAGAATGGGCCAGACCGGGTCATTTCTCGAGAACAATAGCTAAGGCTTCTGATACTACCACTTGGATTTGGAACCTTCGTGCTGATGCTCACAATTTCGATAGCCATCCCATTTCGGCCAAGTCTCCATCAAGTGAGATGTATTTCCACGCTCGTTTTTTCATCATCTGAAAATAAAAACAAGAGTAAAAATGTCATCGGTACATTCTAAAAAAAACAATAATAATAATTAAAAAGAAAAATTCTACCCACTCCTAAAAATAAAAAACAATAATAATAATAATAATAATAATCAAAAGAATTACTAATCTCTTGCAGTAATCCAACACTAATATTTTTTACTTGTTCTTACCAGGCAGTCACGTCGATACAGAATCGATACCGTCACCGTGACTGACTGTAGATGCTGTAGGAAACATTGCAAGGTGATGGTTTGGGGACGACCCGTCATGTCCATGACTCGAATTTCTTCAATCATGGTATCAAGAAGTGGGTCCCTTCTCGAACAGGCTCCTCAGGCGATCCGCCGAACTTTTTAAAAATTATATCGGCCTCGCCAGGACGTAGAGTATAATTTGATCCTCGGACGGCTACTTCAACTATGACATCGACTACTCCAGCTATGACGTTGAGTACCTTCTGGGACATCAATGATAAATTGTTTGAGAATTCTGCGAGATCAATGATAAATTGTTGGATAATTCTACGAGATCAATAATAAATTGTTTGATAATTCTGTGAGATCAATGATAAATTGTTTCATAATTTTGTGAAATTAATGATAAATTGTTGGATAATTCTGCGATATCAATAATAGATCGTTGGATAATTCTGCGAGATATAAATTGTTTGATAATTTTGTGAAATCAATGATAAACTGTTTGATAATTCTGTGGGATTAATGATAAATTAGATCAATCATAAATTGTTTGATAATTTTGCGAGATAAATTAGAGCATTGATAAATTGTTTGATAATTTTGTGAGATCAATGATCAATTAGATCAATGATAAATTGTTGGATAATTTTGCGAGATCAATCATTAATTGTTGGATAATTCTGCGACATCAATCATAAATTGTTTGATAATTCTGTTAAATAAATTAGATCAATGATAAATTGTTTGATAATTCTGTGAGATAAATTAGAGTAACGATAAATTGTTTTGATAATTCTGTGAGATAAATTAGAGCAATGATAAATTGTTTGATAATTTTGTGAGATAAATTAGAGCAATGATAAATTGTTTTGATAATTCTGTGAGATAAATTAGAAGAATGATAAATTGTTTGATAATTTTGTGAGATTAATGATAAATTGTTTGATAATTATGCGAGATTAATAATAAATTGTTTGATAATTATGCGAGATCAATCATAAATTGTTCGATAATTCTGCGAGATCAATCATAAATTGTTGGATAATTCTAATTCTGCGAGATCAATAAGATAATTCTTATTCTGCAAGATCAATCATAAATTTGTTGGATAATTCTTATTCTGCGAGATCAATCATAAATTGTTGGATAATTATTATTCTGCGAGATCAATAATAATTTGTTGGATAATTCTTATTCTGCGAGATCAATCATAAATTGTTGGATAATTCTAATTCTGCGAGATCAATCATAAATGGTTGATAATTCTGCGAGATCAATCATAAATTGTTGGATAATTCTAATTCTGCGAGATCAATCATAAATTGTTGATAATTCTGCGAGATCAATCATAAATTTTTAATAATTCTGGGAGATCAATCATAAATTGTTTGATAATTATGTGAGATCAATAATAAATTGTATAGATTGTTGGTAGATAGAAATGCCGTAAAAACTTCTTACGAAGAATGGGTCGGGTCATTTCTTGAGAACAATAGCGAAGGGTCCTAATACTATCCTTGTATTTGGAACATCAATAGATTTTTGGTAGATAGAGATCTCGTAAAAACTTCTTTCGAGGAATGGGCCAGACCGGGTCATTTCTTGAGAACAATAACTCATGGTCCTGATACTACCACCATTTTCTCGAAAACTATTTAGTGCCCATTTTTGGCAACTCTCCATCATCTTGGCTGAGTGGGACGGTGCTCGAACACAAACAAAGAGTAAAAATGTCATTGATACATTCTAAAAAATAATAATAATAATAATAATATTTAAAAAAAAAATTCTACTCACGTCTATGTAGTGTATAACTTCTAAAAATAAAAAACAACAATAATAATAATAATAATAATAAAAAGAATTACTAACCTCTATGTACTAATGTAACCCTAATTTTTTTTCTCATTACTAAGAGAGTCACATCAGGTTGATACAGAATCGATACCGTCACCGTGACTATAGATGTTGTAGGAAGCATTACAAGGTGATGGTTTGGGGACGACCCGTCACGTCCACGACTCGAATTTCTTCTATCCATGGTATCAATGATGGCTGACCTTGTTGCAATGCGTATGAAATTCAAACCGTTTTATGGATCTGAGATGATGCCACCCCATAGTGGATGAGGAAGGAAGAGCTAGAGCTGCTTCATCATGCGCTAAAAGAAGTGACATTTGGGCAGGACGAAGCAGATCTTGGCGGTTGGATGCCCATGTACACCCCTAATTCTTCATGAAGTATACCCCTAATTCTTCCTGAAGTATACCCAGTACACCCTTACCTTTTCATGAAGTACACAAGAACATTACAAAAAAAACTGATAACAAAAAACCATATAGACCAAAAAAACAAAAAATCACCGTTTAAAAATACACTCTTACACCCTAACTTTTCATGGGCTTCATAAACTCAAGCAAACAAGCCAACAGTGTTTTCCTCGTCTCGGCCTTTTTGTCTTTCTGAGCAGAGGTCTCAGCTTCTTCCGGGCTCATCTCGGCCTTTTTGGCTTTCCGAGCAGAGATCTCAGTCCGAGCAGAGATCTCAGCAAGCAAGTGATTTTGCTCCCAAGCATGATAATCTTCTATTCCTGTCCGAAAATTGACTACTAAATTTGAATTGTACGATGGATAAATTCTACGAGATCAATGATAAATTGTTTGATAATTCTGTGAGATAAATTAGAGCAATGATAAATTGTTTTGATAATTCTGTGAGATAAATGAGAGCAATGATAAATTGTTTGATAATTCTGTGAGATAAATTAGAGCAATGATAAATTGTTTTGATAATTCTGTGAGATAAATTGGAGGAATGATAAATTGTTTGATAATTTTGTGAGATTAATGATAAATTGTTTGATAATTATGCGAGATTAATAATAAATTGTTTGATAATTATGCGAGATCAATCATAAATTGTTCGATAATTGTGCGAGATCAATCATAAATTGTTGGATAATTCTAATTCTGCGAGATCAATCATAAATTGTTAATAATTCTGGGAGATCAATCATAAATTGTTTGATAATTCTGCGAGATCAATCATAAATTGTTTGATAATTATGTGAGATCAATAATAAACTGTATAGATTGTTGGCAGATAGAAATCCGGTAAAAACTTCTTACGAAGAATGGGCCAGACCGGGTCATTTATTGAGAACAATAGCGAAGGGTTCTAATACTATCCTTGTATTTGGAACATCAATAGATTTTTGGTAGATAGAGATCTCGTAAAAACTTCTTTCGAGGAATGGGCCAGACCGGGTCATTTCTTGAGAACAATAACTCATGGTCCTGATACTACCACCATTTTCTCGAAAACTATTTAGTGCCCATTTTTGGCAACTCTCCATCATCTTGGCTGAGTGGGACGGTGCTCGAACACAAACAAAGAGTAAAAATGTCATTGATACATTCTAAAAAATAATAATAATAATAATAATATTTAAAAAAAAAATTCTACTCACGTCTATGTAGTGTATAACTTCTAAAAATAAAAAACAACAACAATAATAATAATAATAATAAAAAGAATTACTAACCTCTACGTACTAATGTAACCCTAATTTTTTTTCTCATTACTATGAGAGTCACATCACGTTGGTACAGAATCGATACCGTCACCGTGACTATAGATGTCGTGGGAAGCATTACAAGGTGATGGTTTGGGGACGACCCGTCACATCCACGACTCGAATTTCTTCTATCCATGGTATTAATGATGGCTGACCTTGTTGCAATACGTATGGAATTCAAACCGTTTTATGGATCTGAAGATGATGCCACCGCGTAGTGGATGAGGAAGGAAGAGCATCAAACATGCCCAAGTTTGAAGATGTATAATATCCTGTGAAGAACTATGTATAATATCCTGTGATTTAGAAGAACTAGTTTGATGGATAGCTTACGCATATCAATGACTAACTTTATTTTATTTTATTATTATTATTTTTTATCTGGTTTTTTGTTTTTGGGTTCATTTTTAATTTGAGTTTTTGTTTTTTAAGAATTTTGACTTCTATTCTTTTTTGTTTTTTCTTCTATTTTGACTCAATAAAATATGAGTTGTGAAACATGAAACCAAAAACTTTAGAGCTGAACCGAACTGCCAAAATAAAAAATGTGTCTAAATTGATTCTGTTTTTAGGAGTTGTGGGAGACATATCAATTTTCTAAGGATTAGTCTTAATTGACATAACAACACGACGCAGCTAGTCCATAAAATCAAGAAATGCAAACAAAAACATAAAGGGTTCGGTAACATGATGAAGTTATAGGTTACGGTGACAATGAAGATTTTGTATCGACCTGATGTCTTTGCTGTGGTAGAGATGACGAGAAGATTTTAGTATTCGATTACGCTGAGTTAAATTCAACCAGTTTTTATTCTTAAATAAATGTTTGCTTCATTGTTTCATTTCTTTGTATTTTTTGTCTCTTCTTGCAATGCATACTCTGAACTTGGGCTCTTGATGTTATGTAATTTCATGTTATCATATCGTCTAGTTTTGCCCCTACATCAATATTGTAATGCATTCCTAAAGGATGCCGACTTTCCAAGTATCCATATTGATATAATCCATGTGGTTATTTGATTGCTGTAGGCTACGCTTTTAATGTCAACATGGGTATATGTACACATGTACACGTATAGTAAAGCACTCTGTTTCCATCCTAACAGATAAATATATAAAAACACACAAGTTTAGTACACATATGACATGTGGATAACAAAAGTGCTCCAAAGAATTGTTGCCTAATATTTTTGACACCGTTAGTATGCTTATCAGATTACCATTTCTAAAATCATTTTTATCATTCTTTAGGATTCAGCCTGACTATTTTGGTGCAGTTTAGTGTACGAGTTTACTTTTTTGATAATCACACTTTAGAGGGAACATTAGCTCTTTGGAGCTTAAGTGCAAGGTGCTAGGAAAAGAACATGAGCCTTAATTAGACGAGTTAGACAATATGTGAAAAGACGAATAATATTAAATATGCGAAAAGACAATAATATTAAGTTTTAGAGCCTTCATTCATGGAAGTTCAATTTCTATTTTTGTCTTTAAACTTTCATGCCGGTTCTTTTGTCATTTAAACTTTAAACACGCTATCTTAGTCCCTAAACTTTATTATAGTCTCCAAACATTTTTCATCATTTCGGTGAACAAGCAATTTGCTAAAATAATTTTTTACTCGAAATTTAGGGTCTAAAAAGCTTGAAAGTTATGGATCAAAATGGAACTTATAGCGCAAGGACCAAAAGAAATGAAGGCCTTGTTTAAGGCTTTAACATTAGTCAGAGAGTGATTATCTTGTCATCCTAAAAGTTCTCTCCCGTGGTTCTTTTACGTCCTAAATGGTTGAAGCTTAGGCAGAAAGGTGCTTAGGGTGCATTGAACTAGCTCACTTCCCCTTGTGGTTGCATAATTGCACTTTCCGAAACAGGGATGTTACTGACAAATATTTTGATAACCTGTGATCTAGAGATGTATCCTTGTTAGATTAGTGTGATTATCCATGTAGTCTCACAGGTACCGTTTAAATATAGCTGTTGTTGGAATAATTTTGGAGGATTATTTGTTTATTTATTCAAGTAGAAAGAAATTAATCTTCTTCTAGATTCCTTGTCTCATGCTGTACCATGTTTATCTTGTTCATTTTCAGGTGGCTGAAAGGACTCTGTTTTTATGGAACAATAGTCACATCGAGAACCTAATCAAACAGAACCTGATTTTGCTGATTATATTTCCTGCGCTGGAGAGAAATTCAAGAAACCATTGGAACCAGGCTGTACAAAACTTGACACAAAACGTCCGAAAGATCTTCTTGGATGCTGACCCTGAGCTGTTTGAGGAATGTTTGCTCAAATTTCAAGAAGAAGAGACACATGAGAAGGATACGAAATCTAAGCGCGAGGCTAAGTGGAAACGCTTAGAGGAGATAGCTGCTGTGAAATCTGCAAGTAATGAAGCAGTTCTTGTCTCTTCCAAAGTAGCCTTTTCTGTGTATATGTGATTGGGAGGGGGTTGGATTCGGGTCTGCCGAGCCAGGTATCCTTGGAAAATTTCTGTTTTATTGTTGAATGGGTGAAAAGCAAGAACGAAATTCAATTTTTTTCATAATTGTGCTCATCAGCATCTGGACGATGGTCCCTTGTAGTTTACTGCTTCTGTAATTCAAGTTATTGGTTTCTTTTCTTCTGTCCCTTTCTGGGTACCTCTGGATTTCTGTTTGTTTGAGCAAATGATATATACTCTGAGATATTCTAGCAGGAGGTATATACAAGCTCTTATCATCTGCCCTTTTATGGTCTATGTTTATTTTGTCCTAATTAATATCATCGGCCCTTATGTCTATGTTTATTTTGTCCCAGTTAATTTCGTGTCAATTGGAGTTCAAACATGAACTCTTCATATTGATAATATTAATCAATTATTAATTCAAATATGATTAAGTGAATAAGACACTAAGTCTGATTCTTCCGATAATAGATTGAAAATGAATTATCGAAAAAACGATATATTGGTTGTAAACACGTCAAAGTCAAAGTCCAAAATTTAGCAGGTTAAAAGGTTCAAAGCCCCAGCAGCCAGCCAGCTTAATTCGTATCTCTCAGGCTGCTTAATTCGTATCTCTCATTCAACTAAGGGAAAAATTGACATATTTGTTGTTTTTGGAAGGCAATTAATCTAAAAAACAGGTCCATATTTTAAAGTTCATCCGGAGATTGATTCCATTCAAGAGTGACTCTAAACGACAATGGGGATTTTGTAGCTGTCATTTTGGATGCAGAAAGTATGAGTTTGGGTCATCCAATGGTTTTAGCTTGATACCTAAAAGTCTTTGCAGATCATTCAGGCAGCTTTGAATGTGTTGAAAAATCTTGTTTGTCCTCCCCCATCAATCACCAATAAGCCACCTGTGTAAGGCTCGCAAGAACTGCAGAACGCATTGTTCCAGATCGAGCTGCTTGCATGACTGGTCAAGGAGATCAAAGAGAAACGCAATGGGATGAATATCTTCAGGTGTTTAGACTCCGGGGAATGGAAGTGTGATGCAAGTGAGGGAAAAAAGCTTTAATATCCCTAATTCTTCGTAAAGTATACCCCTAATTCTTCGTAAAGTATACCCCTAATTCTTCGTAAAGTATACCCCTAATTCTTCGTAAAGTATACCCCTAATTCTTCGTAAAGTATACCCCTAATTCATCGTAAAGTATACCCCTAATTCATCATTCATAAAGTATACCCCTAATTCATCATTCATAAAGTATACCCCTAATTCTTCATTCATAAAGTATACCCCTAATTCTTCATTCATAAAGTATACCCCTAATTCTTCATTCATAAAGTATACCCCTAATTCTTCATAAAGTACACCCCTAATTCTTCATAAAGTACACCCTTACCCTTACCCTTACCTTTTCACGAAGTACACAAGAACATTACAAAAAAAAACTGATAACAAAAAACCATATAGACAAAAAAAAAAAAACAAAAAATCACCGTTTAAAAATGCACTCTTACCCCCTAACTTTTCATGGGCTTCATAAACAAGCAACCAAGCCAACAGTGTTTTGCTCGTCTCGGCCTTTTTGTCTTTCTGAGCAGAGGTCTCAGCTTCTTCCGGGCTCATCTCGGCCTTTTTGGCTTTTCGAGCGGCCTTTTTGTCTTTCTGAGCAGAGGTCTCAGCTTCTTCCGGGCTCATCTCGGCCTTTTTGGCTTTCCGAGCAGAGGTCTCAGCTTCTTCCGGGCTCATCTCGGCCTTTTTGGCTTTCCGAGCAGAGGTCTCAGCTTCTTCCGGGCTCATCTCGGCCTTTTTGGCTTTCCGAGCAGAGGTCTCAGTCCGAGCAGAGATCTCAGCAAGTGATTTTGCTCCCAAGCATGATAATCTTCTATTCCTGTCCGAAAATTGACTACTAAATTTGAATTTTACGATGGATAAATTTTCTAAAATGACACCACCTTCCTTTGCTGTTTCTGAAAGGGTTCGAGAGATGTCATGTGAAATACAGGATGCGTTGTTTGATAATTCAAACGCAGTTGATTTGGACATTATATTATGAACCTTTTCGAACGCAATAGAACTCATCATCTAACAACAAAAAAAAAATGATGAATAAAAATGATATTGGTGTACCTCTCAAAATAAAAATAATAAAAAAAAAAAATTTAGTCACCTCTGTGTAATAATCGAATCCTAGTTTTCTTGTCATCTCTACTAGGAGAGAGAGATCAGGTCGATAGAGAATTGTTACTGTCACGGTCGCCGACTGTAAATTCTGTAAAAAGCATTGGAGCGTGATCGTCTGTGGACGACAAGTCATATCCACAATACGAATTTCATCAATCCAATGGATTGAGAAGTGCATCCCTCCTCCTTGGGCGTTCCGCCAAATTTTCTAAATATTATCCCGGCCTCGCCAGGATGCAACGTGTAATTCGATGCGCCCGTAAGTATGGCTGCTCCAGCTATAACGTTGATTGACCTAACTATAGATAACCAACGCCTAGCCGACATTGACAATTAGCAAGGGAGGGTTTGTAGCAGAAGAATGGTTGGCAAGGGAGGGTTTGGAGCAAAGAATGGCGTCTTCCGTCTGAAAACAAAAAAGTTTCCAAGAAATGACAAATCAGTCTTTTTCAATTGTCAAGAGAGATCGTCGGCAAGGGAGGGTTTGAAGGCAAGGGAGGGTTTGAAGGGAGATCGTCGGCAAGGGAGGGTTTGAAGGCAAGAGAGGGTTTGAAGGGAGATCGTCGGCAAGGGAGGGTTTGAAGGCAAGAGAGGGTTTGAAGGGAGATCGTCGGCAAGGGAGGGTTTGAAGGCAAGAGAGGGTTTGAAGGGAGATCGTCGGCAAGGGAGGGTTTGAAGGCAAGAGAGGGTTTGAAGGGAGATCGTCGGCAAGGGAGGGTTTGAAGGCAAGGGAGGGTTTGAAGGGAGATCGTCGGCAAGGGAGGGTTTGAAGGCAAGAGAGGGTTTGAAGGGAGATCGTCGGCAAGGGAGGGTTTGAAGGCAAGGGAGGGTTTGATGGGAGATCGTCGGCAAGGGAGATCGTCAAGCAAAGAATGGCAGTGGGAATCGTGGCACAAGGCTATATATAGGCAAGCTTGTGGAAGGCTATTTTATAAGCAAATTACTCAAGTGGAAATGGGGAGGGACTCTAATGAATGTGGTTTTAGGTAAAACCTATTTTTTAACATAAATCTTCCCCTTCAATTCTACCTCCTTCCCTCCCTCTTGTGATGTGTTATGCTGTTTTTACTTATTGTCTGTTTCTTCTTTTACAGCCCTGCATTGAATTGGCAAAAAGTTACGGCACGGGAAATGTTGACGAACTAGGCACTGTTTTTCAAACAAACAGGGAGAAATTTGAAAGTGTAAGAATTATTTCACTATGTTATCACTTCAGATGGTCTAGTTACATTACATGGTATGTGCATGCATTGAAGAGAGCTTGGTTTGTTAGATATGGGCTTGTCGATCTATTGCCTAAATGCTTCTATTTTTTTTTATATGAGTTATGGATTGTGTGTTATACCAGAACAACAATCTTGGACTCGTGAAGCAGGCTGCAACATTCAGAGATTGACGCTTACGTACTTGACCCTCTCACTTCAAGTACTGGCCAGATGAAAGAAAATTACATTTGAATTTGAAGCCATAACTAAAAACCAGAGCCAGTATTTTAAGTGAAAAATACTGATCTAAAAAAACCAAACAAAGACAAATAGACAACACTATAAACTTCCATCAAACTAAATCTTCATAAACATAAATGCAATTAAATTATCGAACTATCATTACCCAACTCAAAAATTAGTACATAAACTTTATTTCAGTGCCTCATCACTAAGAACACCGCCCCATAAGCAGAAGCTAGAAAAAAGTAGGATATGGGAGATAACAACATACACCCTAACACCAGCGCCGACAACAGCCACCCTTTTTCTGGAGGCTACAAAATCGAAGAAGATGCAAAGAATTAAGCTATATCCAGCAAAATTTAGCTCAAAAAGGAAAGCATGATCTACATAGCTACAGAAACTGCTAACAAAACGTATTTACAAAACTTGTGAAAGATATTTTGAGGAGAAAAGGAAAATTGCTGCAGACTCGTATTGCAAGAAAGTTGCTGATAGTTACATTGTGAGGACTTCATAGTACAATCCAATTACAGAATGACGATAATTACAAAAATGATTAGTTTCTCGTTGATCAATGCAATCAAGTGAGGATGTGCTTAGCGAGATAGAGAGAGAGAGAGAGAGAGAGAGAGAGAGAGAGAGAGAGAGAGAGAGAGAGAGACTTCGCTGGTCTTGTTTGGCTGGCGAGGCCATGTCTGTGTAGCTTGGTTAAGCTGATGCCCTGTCAAAGTTCTTCAGAATCCTCCATGTGAAACTTGGGAAACAAAATAAGAGATAAACTGTATAGTACACCGGAAATGCCGCCGGTTTCTTTCGAATGGGCCATTGATGTTAATGGATTATCGACGTCAATATTAATAGACCATTGATGCAATATAAATGGGATGGGCCTATGACGTCAATATTAATGGATGGGCCGAAGACGTCAAATTAATGGGCTGCTGTTGTCAATATTAATGGGCCATTGACGTCAATATTCATGGGCCATTGACGTCAATATAATTGGGATGGGCCGTTGACGTAAATATTAATGGAATGGGCCGCAGACGTCAATATTAATGGGCCGTCGACTTCAATATCAATGGGCCGTTAATGTCAATTTTAATGGGCCTTTGACGTCAATATAATTGGGATGGGCCGTTGACGTCAATATTAATCGGCCATTAGACGTCAATATTAATGGGGCGTTGAAGTCAATAATAATGGGCCGTTGTTGTCAATTTAAATGGGCCTTTGACTAATTGGGATGGGCCGTTGACGGTAATATAATGGAATGGGCCGAAGACGTCAATATTAATGGGCCGTTGACGTCAATATTAATGTGCAGTTGACGTCAATATTAATGGGCCGTTTACGTCAATATTAATGGTCCATTGACGTCAATATTAATGTGCCATATGACTTGGGCTCAGTTCCAAATGTAGCAGATTGTTGGGCCGTAAGAATTGGGCTCAGTTCCGAAAGTAGCAGATTGTTGGGCTGGACATGGCGCTTAGTCCAGAAAATCCAGTTGGGCCGTCTGACTTGGGCTCAGTTTCAAATGTAGCAGCTTGTTGGGCCACACATAGCGCTGAGTCCAGAAGATGCATTTGGGCCGTGATGACGTGGGCTTAGTTCCAAATGTAGCAGCTTGTTGGGCCGAACATAGCGCTGAGTCCAGAAGATGTAGTTGGGCCGTTATGACTTGGGCAGTCACTTCTTCCGCCGATCTGGTATTCACCGTTCGGATTCTGACTTTACAAGAAAGAAAGGACTGATCGAGAAATAGAAGCTTCATCTCAATTTCTTCTCTAAAAGATACTCCTCCTGCAGCTGCTACAGCCACTGTTCGACTTCTGCTACGAGCTTCCATTACGGCTCCGAGAAGACAGAAAGATCGTTTTTTTTGGTAGAAATAGGAAGAAAAAGGGAGAAAGAGCGGGAAATCCTAAAAATAGGATATTTCTCCCAAATATTCTTCTCAAAACTAAAACCCTTCATCAAGCGAGAAGAGACTCCTCCGAGAGGTGACGACGGTGAACTGCCTAGCGACTGAACTGTGAGTGCATCGACGACAGTTTGACTTCTCTTCATTGTCATGGAATTTGTAAGTTGCTTCTCAATATCTGCGATATTAGTTCAGAGCTTTCATACATGTGAATTCATGGAAAGTAAACAAACTTCGTTTAGTTTTTTTATTTGTATTATTTTTTCGTTTCAGACTTGTTTAAGCAGAGGTGGATGTTTCTATTTCCCACCATGTCATATGTTCGAGGTCTGTGGGTTTCGAATCCAATTTGACTGCCCTATGGACTTTTCAGCTCTCCCTATCTTCTCCCCTGTTCCTCTTGATTTTTATGTTATTTCAGACGAAGAATTATCAACTCATCCGGGCAATGGTTCTTTCAATTTGGAAAATGTATCTGAGGAAAAAATTGAAAAGCCACTTGATGTGGGTTCTTTGATAAAAGCAGAGCCTTGGTACAAAATCATTAACAACTTGCGCCTCTGGAACCCCTCTTTCACTGATATTGTTTTGATTTCTAGTCCAATGGGCATGTTAGGACTTCCCTTTCTGACCCGAGAGAAGGATTTCTCTGCAAAGGTAGATGATAGCATTTTATTTGCACTTGATGCTGTGTAAATTAGGTCACTATAAGTTTCACAGTTACGGAGAAAACTTGATTTTTCATTGGCTTGCCGTAGATATATGCGACGGAAGCAACAGCAAGACTTGGAAAAATGATGATGGATGACCTTATTGCAATGCATATGGAATTCAAACAGTTTTATGGATCTGAAGATGATGCCACCCCGCAGTGGATGAAGCAAGAAGAGCTAGAGCTGCTCCATCATGCGCTAAAAGAAGTGGCATTTGGGCAGGATGAAGCAGATCTTGGCGGTTGGATGCCCATGTACTGGTAAATTAGTTATTTAGCTTGACTGATTTCTTTCAATTGGAATTAATTTTTGGAAATTTTTGAACGTTTTGTTCGTTTCTCTTTACATGATGTAAATTACTGCTCTCTTTCTCTCTTGCTAACCATTAGGTTTTGGTTTCTCTCTTGTTAATCGAGTATTGTTTTCCTCTCGTTGCTTCTGCTGTGGGAATATTTGTGGGAGTCGTTTCAGAGTTGTGTAAGCACCAATGGCATGTAATGGAATGAAGATGCCTTGGATATTGTTTTCTTTTGCTTTCCTAACTATAGTTTTGGTCTTATGAAACTTGTGTTTTCTCCTCTCTCTCAACTTGGGTTTTGATCATATGTATGTTGCTTTTCAACGTATTTCAGAAGTTAATTACCAAAGACACTGAAGTAAGGAAGTTGCAATGTTTCAAAACAGCTAGTATCAATGCATTTGTGCTCTCACTCATTGTTCATAAAAGTGCTTGTATGTAATAAATGAACTTTTTCTCAGTGCAGCTGACGTTAAGGATTGCATGAAGAAGGTTGAAACTGTTAGATATGGGGAAGAAGCGTGCTATAACGGTGCACTAGTTATAAAGGCACTCAGCTCTGGTCTTGAAATTGGCGCTTGTAACTGGACCATTAATGGCCCAAAGAGAAACATTGCATATATTTCAAGTTCCATCTTTTCTTCCTCCAATGCAATGAATTTTGATTACCTTGCCCTTCAGGAGGAGACAATTATTTATTCTGATTTCTCATCTGTGGAATCTATGAATGACATATTGAACGATACAAGTGGCCCACTTACAGACAACTTAACGGCGCTCAGGTATCTTATGCTCCAACTTCGAAATTGTATCTTGCACTACAAATCTAGTCTTCCTAGACATCAATATTTTTTTCCCCACTTTTTTGAATAATTCATCAAATATTTCCCTGAGGATATATTTTTTTGTGTTGTACTTATTAGTAGTAATGAGGAAACTCTGGCAAATTTATTGAGTGATCCTGCTGAGAGCGTGGGGGAATCAGAAAAACTGTCTTTTATCTGTTCATGTGCTGTCCAATCTGTTGAATCTGGAGGTTCAGTCCTTATTCCTATCAATCGA